CCACCAGAACAGAATCGTACTCACGTGGTTGTAGCTCACGTTTCCTCCGCCCACTCCCCTCGCTGGTTCTTCGACATCGTTCAGGCGTTTTAAAGACGTCCTCATCGTGTCGTGTCCGACTAAAAAAAGAGACAAAGAACAACAGAATGTTTACAAAGGCAAAGTTTAAAAAGAAAATCCAAACAAACAAAAACTTCTCAAACCTTCAGTCTCTCTCCTCTTCTCCCACAATCCTCTGCAGACTTTTAAGGCTGAGGAGATGGAAAAACAAATAAAACATTGGTTTAAATCTACGCTTTTGTTTCTGAGACAAATCCTCTCTTGATCAGAAAAATGATATTGATCCGTCTGCTTTAGTTCTACGGCACGGATTTCTCTTCTTTACACCTAAAACATCAGGGCGTCTTTGCAGCAAATCAACGTCAGCAGCTACTTTTTGAGGGGCTTGATGTGAAGGTCAAAAGAGTCCTGTGAATACTGTTGATTTTGCTTTAGCGTCTCTTCCATCAGAAGTCAAACTGAACTTTATCACCATCTTATGAGATCATGAGTAAAAGAAGGAGACGGCTTTTTTTTAAACCCATATTCTCCTCCTCGCGGCTGCCGCGTGCCACCTGACTTCAGCGGTGTGTCCGTCAGGTCGGCGACAGCTAAACCCGTGGCAGACACTCGTGGCCCCTGGCGGAATGAGCCGGTCCTAATATTTCTTGAGCCTCGGCGTGTCTGTCCTCACCCCTCACTCTGTGTCAAAGGGGCCCTCGACATGAGGTCCCAGTTATCTCCACATCTCCCCCATTTTCCTTAATTACACCTTGGCATATTGCACTTGGAGCGTATGGAGGCAGATACTGAGAGCAGATAAGATGTACAAACTTCTGTCAACACCGCAGCATATTAGCAAGAGCTGGAAGCGTATTATCTCTAATATATCCACCCAATTAGAGCCTAATATCAAAATACACACAGGACCAGCCTGGTCACGACCCAGAGTGGGGGGGGGAGGGGGGGGCAACACAAACAGGACCATGGTGTGTTTTTATTAAAATAGTTTTTCTTCCTCGCCTTTTGTTTTGCTACAAAACGCCACAACGTGAACAGTCACTTCCACCAGAGGAGCCAATAAAAACAGAGATATATTAGCCATTTAAACGCAGCGGCCTGAGAGCTGCACGTGCTCAGATGGTCCGCGCTGGGCCTACGCCTTTTTACGGTGTGTTTCTTTAGTAACAAATTGCTGCTTTAAAAATAAACCGTGTACGGTCACACGGGAGAATCTATTTTCCTTCATAAAATCGGAACGTCGTGTCACATTTGTTCCAACAAATCAAGGAATTTTAAACGCAGCATCATTACCAGGACAATTTGAAGGAAATGTCAGAGGAGGGAAGCATACATTGTTTTTACTTTGTTTTTTTTTTTTTTTGTTTTTTTTTACACAGTCATAATAATGGCTCCATTATTTTAATGGAAAAATGTCAAGGATAAATAAATGCAGCGGTAAACCCATGTGGGGCCTTTGTCGACTGATCTGATAAACACAGGCTCAGCTCAGCTCCCAGTGACACGGTGTTCATCTGAAGGCTATCACCACAAACACACAGCTCTGTGGAAACACCACTGTCTCCTGCTGGGAAACAAATGTAAATGTTCACTTAAAGACAGAGTTAATATTATTATGTCCCTTTTTTTTTAAGGCAGTCAAATTGGACAACGCAATACAGTTTTAAGGCAACGTCTTTTCACATTCTACAACATTCCTGCCCTGTGAAAAATTCTGCAGAATTTAACAAAAATAAATACATAAAATATTAGTACCGTATTGAGCCATAGCACAAACAGAGTTGTTAATGAGAAATGCTAAGGCTAATAATACTTAATAATAATAATAATAAACTAAGGCTAATAATAATAATAATTTCTGCTTTATATGAGAGGTTCTCAACAGGGGGTCCATGGTCCATACTTGGTACACAGGGGACACTGAAGGAATGAAAGTAACTATGAAAAAAAAAATCTCCAGGATAACCTCATAATGCTTAATGCTAACAATAAAAATGTATGCTCCAAAACAGAGGTCTTTAACGGGGGGTGCACGACCCATAGATGGGACATAGGGGGCGTTGTAGTTACCACTTCAACAGCAACCAAAAGGTTACAACAAAACCGCTAGAATTCTCAACACCTCCAAAAAAAACAAAACAAATAGAAATACAGTATTACTGTACATACAGTAGTACAGGCATTAATCTGACTGTATTCAAATGTATTCAAATAGAAATAGAGTATTACTGCACATACAGTAGTACAGCCATTAATCTGACTGTATTCAAATGTATTTTAAACAGCAGTACACACACACACACACACACACACACACACAGTCACACGAAAACAAAGGTGGAGAGAGGAGAGAGTGGAGAGGTCACTTTGAGAAACTGGATTCACACATGTGCCAAATTCCAAACAGCGTCTCCGTCTCACTCTTCCTCTAATCCTCTTCTCACATCCACCGCTGCTGAGGGCCAATCATGTGAGGCGGGCCACAACCCCGCGATCGCCGGGCCCTAATCTGTGTCCCCGCCCCGTCCAAAGTCCACCTCAGACAGCCGCAGCAGCCGACTGCCAGCAGAGGAGTGGCAGGCTTAGCCCTCCCTGGAGGGACAGCTAGAGGTTGTCTCTACATGGATGGACACTTCGCAGCTCAGCAGGGGCGAGAGGAAGGGGCAACGTAGCAGCTGCTCGGGGCATATGGGCAGAATTCATTAAGTCTCGTTAAATAAGCCAATTGTGGAGGCGGTAGGAGAGAGAGAGAGAGACAGAGAGAGAGAGAGGGGAAAAAAAAAGTCAAGTGTTTGTATGTCCAATAGAAAATCAGACGCAGGGAACACTCACTGAGTCTGAGCACTGAGCTCAAATATTGTGCAGCACAAATATCCAGCGAGACGCGGTGGTCGTCCGGGGGTATTACGCTTGATGAAGTTGATTCAAGGCGGACCGAATGGAAAAGAAAAAAAAAAACCTGGATCTGTTTGTGATGGGCTGTGATTGAGCTGTTCGATGCATGGATGCTGCCGTCCTTGAGGGCTTCGCTGTGCACCTCCAAACACCCAGAGACTGCTGCGTGTCTCCGACATCAACCTCATCACAATCTGTAAATGTTACAGCTGTTTCACTAATGGACCTGCGCCGCCTTTATATTCACACACATGAACCAAAGGCAGGAGTGAATGCTGATGCAGCCGCCGTTGTATACACTGTATTTCATAAATGTGAGCAGATCTTGAACCAACAACCTCCCCCCTCCCTTCTCTCCCCCCATCCTGGGTTTGTGTGTCTTTCTGTACTTATGCCGGGGTCTCAGACACAAATGAGCTGAGGACCACGGCTGCCACTGTCATTCCATCGACGCGCCACATCAGGATGTGATGTTCAATATTGATAAATCCACCAAAAGTCGGTACAAGTCGGTCAAGGGCAACTGGACGTAATTCACGTCTCATCCACAAGGGGTTCTTCAGTTCTAACTCACTGCTGGGAAGTTCCTGGTATTTAACCTCAGGGCCAAACACCCGAAGGGGGCGCCACTGATGTGTAACTGTTCCTTGACCTTGAATGGAATCGACGAGGAGGTACCGGTCCGTGTGGGTGGGTTTCCTGGAGACCAGTGGTTCTCAAACTGTGGTACGTGTACCAGCGCTCTCTAGTGGTACGTGGGGAAAATTCATATTTTCACATTTACATTTTCAATTGAATAAATCTGAACCACACCATGCACAATTAATCCAACATTGTCGACTCACATCATGTTTCCCAGGAGTTTATGAATAATGTCTACTGACGAGGGTCGTGGAGGTTTGGGACTTTTAAAAATATGGGTTTTGGAATCACAGCTGTAGACTTCAGTGTACTAGGTCCCCAAAATAAAAGGTTTTAGAATCACAGCTGTAGACTTCAGTGTACTGTAGGGTTATAGGTTCCTGGCCTTCCTTATGTCACCGCACGGTCCAGAAAGGCCGGCATGTTTCCTACGACCCCAACTGGGCCTTCACCAAATCCACCACCTCCAAAAGAAGGAACATGAGGAGAAAACCAACAAATAGAATAACCATACGTTTCTAGTGTCTCTGGAAAACTCTTTCTCAGACAAATACTTGCTCCAAAGGACAAAATACCCGTGAGGACGTCCCTGACCTCTACATCAGGGAAACCAAACAACATACAACAACAAGATGGCGACGTAACCCCAGAACGCTGTAAGTCGATGACATCGTAAACTGGGGAAATCCTGCGGTGAAATAGTACAGTAAAAATCCTATTTTTAATCCTTAAAGGAATAATTAAAGCTTTTCAGTAATTAAATAAAAAAAAACATACCTTAAGTTCAAACTTATTTTTGACATCTCGTCACGGGCCAGAAGTGAGAGGGTTCGTGGGCCAGACCTGGCTACTGGGCCAGGAGTTTGAAACCCTAATGATAATGTAAGAAAAGTTAAGAATCAATTGAGAGCTGAGGTTTGGAGATAAATTTGATTTTTTTTTTTAAACAAAGCAAAATGGACAAAGGATATGTTTAAATGTATCCCATTAAACCACACTTTGGAGAAGTGGTTAGAACTACTGTCTTAGAGTAAAAAAAACAAACTTGAAGACATTTCAGCAATGGTGACCAGGAACTGTTGAGTGCCAGGGTCTTTCATACTGCAGAAATAAACAGAATAAAAAGAATTAATAATCCACATGTGAAGCTCCAACAACACACAGTATGTTGTACCTAAACTGTAACTTTCAGCACTTTAACTTTGACCTGTCGATACCTGACACCAGCAGCTGTCTTCACCCACACTTATATCCATTCCTTGTTATCCAGCAAAAGGTATAATGTATGCTAATCCCCCAGGTGTCAATAGGAAGTGTGTTCAATGCATTTGAGATAATAGTGAAGAAGGCGTCGCTGCTATCGAAGAGCTGGAAGATAAAGTCAATGGCACAGTCAATAACAATAGGGTTGTAGGCTTTAATGAGGAATGTTCATTTGAAGACAATCAACCGGATTTCAGCTTAGCTGATTATCAACCTTGGACTTGTGCGAGGGTACGAGGATGTTGATAAAGTTGGCCGCGCGCGCGGAGGACATTTTTATCCAAAATCACTTTGCCTTTTGGCTGTTTTAAGTTGAAGACTACAAAAACAAAAAACCCGGACAAAGACGAGGAAGGTCAGCAGCCGCGTTACTGTAGCGAGACGACGCGCTTTATTTAGAAAAGGCAAGAAATGTTCTATATACACTTTTTATATACACAATTTACATGATGAACAGAAGAGTAAGTGAAGAAGGTGACGTAACCAAAGTCCCTGGTCCGGTTGTGTGATGGACTTCCTCTGCAGCTTTTTCATCTCTGAGTCCGAGCCTCGTCCTCATGTTACAGGCAGCGCGGCCTGATCCTCATTCTCTCCTTGATCCCATTCCATCAGCAGCTCGGAGGACACCTCTGTAAACAGATGATCCCAGTCCCAGCTCACATCATCCTGCCCAGCAGAACAGAGAAGACGGAGGAGAGAAGAAGAAGAATTAGGAGGCAGGAGGAGACACGGAAGAAAGAAAAGAGATCATGGGCAACATAGGGAGCAGCGGGAGAACGGGGGGAGGGAGCCGAGGCCGTTAATGTACACATCATAAATCTTGATTACCTGTGAGACGGAGTGGCAACCTCCCCCGGTGCTCCAGAAACAGCTGGACAGGCCGTCGCTGGGAGCTCACAAGCTATATTTACTAAAAAACTCACTCACCTCCTTCACCTCCTGCTCCGGCGCTAGAACCTTGGTGAGGAGCTTCAAGTCAATCTCTCCATCCTGAAGGAAGAACACAGTGGAATTGACTGAGCTTGCACAAACTGGGCTGATGCAGCTGTAAATGGACAACCTTGACGAGGAGGAGCTTTAGAAAAAAAAAAAAAAGACGTAAAAATAAATGTTCTTGACTTACTAACGTCTGGAAGGCAGAGTAATACTTCAGATCGTTGTCCAGGTCTCTGTAGGTCATCACTCTGTTCACCTGGACGCTGCAAAGGTGGAAAACATTTATGGGAAAGTCAGCGCACTTTCTTATACTGTAATAAGAATTTTAAAAGGTTGTAGTTCAGTACAGAGGGTCCTCGACTTACAGCTAAGTTCCAATTCTACGGTGTGACCTAACTTGATTTTTCTTGCAAGTCAGAACTCACTGACCTACGCTGACACAGTGGTGACTCATAATCCAGGACATAAAAACATCAAGAATCTGACTAACACCTGGGAGCCATAATGAAGGGCAAAAACGCAACACAAACGAAAGAAAGCGAATGCAGCACAATCCGATGTATGGAGTAAAACCAGCGAATGTAAACAGAGTCGTCTTCACCGTACAGCGCCACATGATGGCGTATTTGTGCGCTCCACTGGTCAACTAGTACTGATGTAAAATTTGTTTCAACACCGTCTTGATGGAACAAGACTTTTGAAGATGTCGTAAACCGAGGACCCCTAGTGTTCCTTATTAGGTTTTGGATAACAGTGACTCCTCACTGTTATAATCTCTGTGTCTGAGAACAAGGGTGGAAACAACTGCTAAATGCGTGTGACCTCTGACCTCTGATGGACACAGCACCAGTAGGATTTCTTGAACTGAGCTCATCTGACATTAGCTTCAGTCCTTATTCTTATAGATGTGCAGTATTTGTGTTCTGTGAACAGATCAGTTCATTCTTAAGGTTTTGGGAACGACGGACGTCAGAAGGTGAATGATCATCCAGACTGTTGTGGACAAGGTTGAACATCCCAGGCGGAGGCCTCCTAACCTTTGCAAGAATGATTTAAATCGAGATTTATTTTCTCTGGAACTGAATGGATTTTCACACCATAAAACCAAAGATGGTTCTGCACAAACTGTCTGACATTTGCAGTCATACGTCATGAACTGAAGGCCTCAGTTTTCTACTGAACAAATATCTGGCAGCCTAACAACGAGGAATCTGGCAACAAAGACCAGTTATTCCAAACCGAGGCAGACCAAGAAAAAGAAAAAACCTCTAGCTGTAAAACTGCAACACTTCATATCACTTATGAAAAAAACAGTGGTAAAGTCGCCTCGGTCTCAGCATTTTGGAATGTTTTCAGTTCTAAAATCAATTATCTCATGTTGCCCTCTCTTCTGTGATTGTTTTTTTTTTCTAGCGCGTCCAAAGCAGCTGCAGAACTTTCACACGTCCACAGACCCAGACGGTGAGGAGGCTGTGGGGAAGTTCAGAGTCAGTGCAGAGTGAGGATCAAGACCACAGAAAGCAGGGGAGACTTGCCAAGTGGTAAACGCTTCAAATTGAAACCCAGCTGCTTATCTGTGGGTCGGAATTAAATCGGGCGGGGGCTCTCAAAGTGGTCGGGGGCCTAGCAGTGCATGCCAGTCCTACTTACTGCACATTACACGCTACATTGCCCCCACAATGAGTTCAATGTGGATATTATCTCGCACAGAGAGCAAGCCCCAGCCTAATAACCTCCACCGCTGTCATAGCCTTGCTACATATTCGACACATGTCGGCGTGTCTCTCACTGCCCTGTAAATCAAAGGCCTCAGTTAGGAAGGACCCTGGTGGAGGAGTTGCATAAATCACACTCTAATGTTATTTCTCCATTTCAACAGATAAAGCAAGGACAGGTAACCATGGAAGTCCGCTGGAGAGCCGGGCACCGTGACCTCTCCGTGTCTGTGTGTGTGTCTGTGTGTGTCTGTGTGTGTGTGGTACCTCGGTGGAGCTGCAACTTGCATGGTGAGGTCTTCTTCCTGGACTTCATCAAGGTCTGGAATCACTGGAATATCTAAAAAAAAAAATTATGTTAACAACTCAAACAATCAAAATTTTTACAGGGTTTTCAAATTCAAACTCCTCAAAGCCGAGGCCGCCCTTTCCCAAAACCCTGTCGGCCTGCCCTAACACCCACACACACACACCTCTGCAGTAAATGCATCTTCTGTGTTCATGATGCATTTCCACAACAACTGACAGAATGGATTTGAAACATTTATTTTCACATCTTCTTAAAATGAGCACACATGAACGATTTTTCCAACAGCAAATAATTTCACTGCCACTTCATGCAGGCCGCTCCCTATGACTCTTTGGCGCCCCCTAGGGGAGGTGCACCTCACCTATTGAAAACCACTGCTCTAATACACATCATGTACACACTGCAGGAACGAGCCTTCGCTGAAAATACCATCTGAACACAGGTTTTAACTTCAGGTCAGACGTCGGCTTCTGTCGGACCTGCCTCACAAAGTCGAGTTAGAAGATCTTTTCAAATTCTTGACATTTTTCCTTATTAAAATTCCATGATTTAGACATAAAAACACGTGTTCCACCCATAACCCAAAAAATCAAAAACGACTTATTGCCGTTGATCACAATGAGTGGTAATTAATCCACAGCTCCCGTGTGATTAATTAGATGATTTTGGTTTAATTATTTGACAGTCCTAGATCCAACACAGAGCTTCCAGAGGCACATATTTGTGGAAGTATGTTTGTATTCTGTCACTTTTTACCCCTCCCCTCCTCCAGTTACATCCTCATAAGAGATGCCCTGTCACAGTCGCCATGCGGCCATGAATATTCAGCAGGTGAGGCGGCAGCTCCTCCTGCTGTGTGAGGGCTGTTGGCCAGGGGCTCCCCTGAAAGCACCCCCTGCTACCTTAGCATTTGGGCCCTGTCAGCGCCGCCCAACTCCAGGACCCGCGGTGGCCGCGGCGCCGACCTCCTTGTCCACTCTGCCACTCCGATCGGAGCGGCGTCCAGCCATGTGCAAGAGTATTTGCTGGTGAGCCCATCTGTGTGGGGTCGGAAGTCACAGCGTGGCCTGGCAGGGGCTGCGGAGCCAGGAGCCGCCAGCCCGCCGCTCAAACAGTGGGAACCCGCTTTAATTGGCAAATCGCAACAGGACAGAGGATCCACTCCCAAGAAGGACAAGGCAAACTTTCACAGCATTTTTCACATCTACATTGGTGGGAGGGATGGAGGCGGGGAGGGGAGGGGACGGGGAGGGGGGGGGCTTAAGACAAGGATCATGAAGAGGAAGTGATTAGATAAAAATCTGCTTAATAATGAACAAAGAGGAAGATTGAAATGAATGGCTGAAAAAAAAAACTGTAAACAAAAAAATATTAAAAACAAACTCTTCGACGCCGAGCTCATGACTGAAAGACTAAGAGAATGTTTTTGGGAAAGTTCTCAGTTTTACAGGACATTTTTGGAAGTGGAAATGGACTGAATTCTGTTTCCTGAAGACATTTCATCTCACAGTCAAGACTGAAGTTCTTCTTCTTTGATGGAAAATGACACATCTTAAATGATTACAAGAAGTGTGTGTTTGAACAACCTGACCACCTCGTACAGTCCGACCACTGAGGGTCTTATTTTTATCTTATTTTTATATTTAATTCACATTTTTAACTCAAAACTGCACTAAACTAAAAAAACTGAACCAAGTGTTGTCTTTTGAAGTTATGTGTATTTCCTGTATAATAGTGGAGAAAGCCAGTAGGTCTATAGCCGAGCGACAAAGGCAGAGAGAGAGAGATGGTGGTGGAGGGGAGTGAAGAAAAACAGAGAGACACAGAGAGAGAGAGACAGAGAGAGAGAGAGAGAGAGAGAAAGACACAGATAGTGAGGAGCTGGACTGCATGAAGTGACGGTTGTCAGTAATCTCTAACCACAGAACTGCACCTCAGGGCAAAGTCAATAGAGGAGCTAAATAGAGGTGAAGAGATGGAGGTCTGCATCAGATGTGAGGAAATATCTTGGCATCTGTGCGACCATTCCTTCAAAATAACTCCTGGAAATAAAGTGCAGTTGAAGAAATGTGATCGATCGCCGAGGGAGAAACAACCAGGATACGCTCTTTTTCGCTCGGAAAAAAAGTTTCTCAATGAAGCGAGTGGACTCCATTCTGATGAGGAACGACAGCCCAGTGAAAACTTGACCCTTAAACTTTGCACAGATAAGAAAACCACCACTCACCCTTATTCCTTCCTTCCTTTTTTTTAATTAAACCAAATTAAAAATGCCAGGCTCGTGTGGCTGCTGACAAGATTCATCTGTGTTTCTGATATCCAAATAAATGCAGGTGCAGGTATTTCATATTCATGAGGACTCGGTGACACTTTGTCCTCTCATTTACAAAGCACAGTGTTCAGCAGAATCTGTCCCCCCTGGACACCCAATCAAATTTAATGGTCTTAGTGCAATGACATCAAAAAGCCTCGCCGTTCGACTCTTTGAGAAAACATTCCTCGGCCGTCTTTCCGTCCACGCGCGGCCCTGTTCCATTTCAGCCACTAATGCAGCATTACCGCACTCGGCGAGAGTTCGGTGTGAAGCACGGAGGCAAATGCTGTCTATATGCAAAGTCTATTATTAAGTGAAAAAAAAAAAAACACAGAGGAGATGGGGGGAAACATATTTTTAAATGAGCTTCAAATTCAACCTATTACTGGAGGTCACGCAGGTCATCGCAGCAGCTGCAAACAAGCTGCCGTTCTCCTCCGAGGCCGAGGGCAACTCCATCAGGACGAGCTGCGTCGCCACAGCGCGGCGCACACCTCGCCCACGCTGACTCACTCCTCTGGGCTGGACGCGCGTCAATGTGGCTTTTGTCTGCCAGCGAGCGTCCAGCTTCCTCACTGAAGCATGTAAATATCAAAAGGGGAATAATTTGCTCTGAATGTGGACACAGTCTCAGCAGGCCCACTGTGGACAACAGGACATGTTTCCACATCACTGTGCGGGGGTCCAGACAAATGATTAAAGTAGGCACGGGATCCATTGGAAAATCTAACACGTCACCGACGAACGGTGGGATCTCAGCCGGGGCAGGAGTGTTTGTGATCCAGGTGCTATTTTTAAGTGAGCATCAGGATTTTTTTTTCTGTGGGGTCACCTGATGGGGAGATGGGAGCAGGAGACTGAACTGGCCTCCCCTTCTCTCTCTCTCTCTCTCTCTCTGTTTCTCTCTCCCTCCTTCCCTCCTCCTGTGCTTGTAGCCAGTGGACATAAGGGATAAGAGTGGGGGGACATAATCAAGATGGCAGGGGCTATCTCACTAACCCTCAGCACTGTAATTTCCACTGCCCCTGCCTCTGGCTCTCTATTAAGAGGTTTCCTTCCACAGAGTAATAATCTTTCCGCCGGCATTAACGGCGAGAAAAAAAACCCCAAACCTCTGAACTGTTTGGATAAATGTGTGTGTGTTGAAATGGATGTAAGTGTTTGAAAACACAACTACAGTAGGGATTAGGCTGCGATCATTATTACACTTACATACAATACTTGGGGGCGGGGGGGCAGTAGACCTTTGAGTATTAATTATAACTTGTCAGAATTTCAGGGATGTTTTGGACGAAAAATAAATATCTATTTCAAGTTAATGTAATTATAAATATATATAAAATATATATATAAATATATAAAAAATATATACGTACTGTATGTTGATTATGTATACACACAAGCTAATATATATAAATATATATTTATACGTGTAGATATTTTACGTAAATACGTCATACATATATGTGTATATATGTATATGTCATATATATGTATATTTTTTTAAAATCTAAAACAGGTATTTGTCCAGAAACCAGCAGTACAGAGTCATCATTTACTCCTTCAGAGCTGACGACTCTTCCTACGACAGTTTTAACCATTTCCCACTGCTTTGAACTGAAAAAACAGAACAATGGAGGAAAAGCAGACAGAGCTCTGCTGTAATTTCCTTTCCATCAGTCCAGACATTGTTGGTGGTGCAGTGAGTGGGGCCCTGAGGTGACTCAGTCAAACAGGCCTGGTTAACACTCAAATCTGTATCCACCCGTCTGTGTTCACTGTGGCTCTGTGTGGTGAAGGGAAACAAATCCTGTCAGAATATTCCCCATCAGCTATAAATCTAACCTCGCCTCATCATTATCATCAAAGAGGGGGGAGGGGACGGGGGGGGTCGTGGGTAGGCAGTGTCTCCCACTTAATGTCCAAAGTTCCAGCACATGAATTCACATTGGATCCAGAGAGAAATATGAAGTGAACCTGATCTGAGTGCCGTCTTATCTGCTCCACTTCCACAGGATGGATGTGCTGCGGAGCCACTGCGGGCTGCTTTTCTACCAGTTAGGACACACAAGGGGGGGCGTGGGGGGGGTAGGTAAGGGTGTTCTTACCTCCTTCATCATCTGATCCCTGGGGAGTTTGTGGTTGCAGTCGGCGGCTGCAGAAACAGGAAGTGGGAGAGTATGAATTATTTAATGCTTTCAAAAATGGAGACCAATGATGAGGTCATCACACGGTGGGAGTTACTGGGTGAGGGAGTCGCCTCCCGGGCCACTTTGGCTTGTTTTTCACTTATGGCAAAGAGGATGCACTCGCTCTCTGTCTCAAACAGCTGTGTTTAAACTGGCTCAGAGGCTCGGAGTATGGATCTGTGCTCGTCTTTAAAAAAAAAAAAAAACAGCGGGAGTGATGGACGCAGAAAGTCTAACTAAGACAAGAAGTCACACAAAAAGAGATTCTTCCTCTGAAAAGTAACATCTTTATTTTCCTACCAAATAGATATTCTACTTCTGAAAAGTAACATCTTTATTTTCCTAACTGAACTACATTTACAGAGGTGTTTGTCTCCAGCAGAGGAGAGAAGAATCTGTCCTCGACCCCCCCACCACCCTCCTCCTCCTCCTCCTCCTCTTCCTCTTCACACTGATGTCTTACAGGGTCACAGATTGTTGTGAGTCAGGGGGGATGAAAACAAATAAGAATAACTAGAAAATCTGGCTCAGTCACACTGTTGTTTTAATCATGTTAAGTGTCTGTTCTCGGGAGACGGGGGATGAGTTGCAATCAAGGTCAGTTTGAAAAAACACAACATTTCTACTTCGCTACGTCGACGACAATCGTGTTTTTGTTCACAGTAGTGAAGTGTAACTTTAATCTACTGATACTGAACTTTAAGAACAAAAAGTTTTTTAAATTGAACTTGATTATCTGGTTTCAAGCCATAAAGGTGACACATCTTAAGTTTGAATATATTTCTTAGAATAAGTGCAAAAGTCTTAAAATACTAAAATGTCTCAACACTCGGCAAAAGTCTTAGCTTAAAATACTAAAATGTCTCAACACTCGACCCTTAATTTACTGAAGTGACAGATTAGTAAAGTTCTATCCATCCATCCATCCATCCATCCATCCATCTTTATCTTGCATAAAAAATTCTTGAAATATGTAAACTTAACCCTTGTCAAAAAAGGACTAATTTTCTTGTTACACTTTTTTTCAATTTCTTGAAACTCTTTTTTTTTTTTAAATATGTGTTGAAATGTGGACAAAGGTGTTTGTTTCAACTCACTCTTCCAGATTCTCAGCCGCAGGTCGTCGTGATGCTCTGTAAATAAATAAATAAATAAATGTTATTGGAAAACATGACATAATCTTTGTCACGGTGTGACGGTAAAATGACACCCCAGTAATAATCTGGGAAATAAATATAGAAAAAGAAATTCTACAGCTCTGCTTCCGGATCTCTGGCGTCTATTTTCAGACTTCTCTCCATTTACACAAAGCTCAGCCTGAACACAGGAAGCCAAACCTCAAAATACTATTTTTGGACACCTCCCCACCACAAAACTGTATTTTTAGGACACGTTCTGTTTAAAGACAAACGACGGTGAAAAATTAATGAAGGCTTGTGTTTCAGCGTGACCTTTTAATCATGCCATCTTATAAAAGTGACCAAAATAGAAGGTTTTTGTTTGAGAGATTAATGTGACGCTCATTGGAGGTTGTTTCTAATGATGCGCTAGGCATCTGTGGATCCCTGGTTGAGGAGTGCCCCCTACTGATCACATAGGAAACACATGAAACCCTAACGTTGTTTTTGATGTAATATAGTATTTGTCACACAAAGACAATCATCAGTGCAAATCTTCAGAAGTTGTTAATGTATATAATATTTGACCGACAAATACAAAGACTGTTATTTATTATTTACTGAACATTTATGACATAAAGGACAAAAGAAAGTAAAGATTATGGACAAACTGAATCCATTTCTTCTTTGTTGTTCGTGACTTTTACTCTAATTATTATTACACTCTAATCTAATAATAATAACTGTGGCCGTTGGGCAGGTGTTTGTTGTTTTGGTGTAACACTTGAGTTTCTGAGATGCTGATTTTTGCACCATTTCTGAAAAAAAAAACTTTTACTAGAAAGACCTTTTCTCTTTAAATAAATATTGTTTAAAAAACACAGTAAAATACCAAGCTACAGAGTTGAGGCATAAATTATTTTAAGAAAGTGCACCAACATTTCTGGAGAGAGGTTCTATGACAATGTGGAAAAAAGAAAGGTCTAAGTGACATTTATATTTTACTATTTCTTTTCATGCCACACAATAAAAATCCCCAAAGTTTTTCCAAAGTTCACTAATTAAACCCTGGTCATTTTTGTTGACCCTTGCTCTTCTTGAGTCGTTCATGTCGTCTGACTACCAATCACCGCTCGCAAGAGTTTAACAAGGCAGGGCCGAGAGCAACTGGGCGAACCAACCAAGCTGCCTTTGGACTGTGACCTGGTCAGGATGAACCAACCTGCCTTTGGACTGTGACCTGGTCAGGACTGCAGGTGGCAACAAGAAACAGACATGCTTTGAATCTAAAACATACACCAGAGCAGTGTTGTCTAGACTGGAGGGGGAAAAGAGTTGAGACTGGACTTGGACTGGAGTTTAAAGATCAGACTTGGCAAGATCAGAGAAAAGACTTGACTTGGTATTTCACCTTTAAAGAATTGACTTCGACATGGGACAAAGGACTTGAGACTGGACTTGGTACTGCCCTTAAAAGACTTGACTCAGACTTAAGTTCAAAGATAAGACTTGACAAAGACTTGGGACGAAAGACTTGAGACATTACTTGGCATTGTCCCTCGAAGATGTGGGGACGTCTTGACTTAGACTCTAAGTTAGTTCAAAGACTTGATATTAGACCGTGGGTCTTGACTTAGACTCCAAGTTAGTTCAAAGACTTGATATTAGACTTGGACTTGAGAGCTGGTCAGTTGTGCTGACCCTCATCAGACCATATGACCAGCAATCCTGGCCCACATGAGTTCAACAAGGCAGAGCACAGAGTGTCTGAGGGAACCCTGCAGCCTGCCCTTGGACTGTGTCCTGTCGGGGGTGGGGGCGCGGGAGGTGTGTGTGTGTGGGGGGGTGACGACAGTTCAGACACATTACAGACCCCGTGATTAGGACTCATGTAAGGCAAAGTGATAGACATGGTAAAACTGTCTGGAAAAAGTTGTAAGGGATAAAATATATTGTGACAACCCGGTTTCAAAGGTTCATCAATAAACTGACAGATCATTTAGTGTCAATTAGATGTGATAGATCGACAAATCCTGGGATTTCTGCGCTGGGATTAGTGGGAGGAGGACGGCGGTGATTGAGCATGAGGGGTGACATTGAGGAAAAAAGTCCTTGCCAGTTCCAGGGGGGGCAATTACTTACTTTGTTTCACAGAGGGATCAATGCATGTGAAAACCTCCTGTATTTCAATCACGGGTATCACAGTGGGTTAGGTGAAAAAAAGGCAGAGGAGTGACACACACTGACCTTCTGTGAGAAAGTACTGCATTTGCTGTTTAGCTTCTTTATACTAACACTGCAGTTAAACTACACACAAATACCATCCTTTAAGTCGGTACACCTTCGTGTACACAACTCTTGCTGAACTGAATTAGAGATGAAAACCTGTTGAGTATACGAGGACAGTAGAGACGGGGACTCAGGTCTTAGACTAAGACTTGAGACGTGCACACTCGAGGACTCGAGACTTGACTTCACACTCGCACTTTAAGACTTGAGACTTGAATTGGACTCAAGGTTTGGGATTTGTGAATGATCTTCATTCCATGGAATTACTGTTTCTGATCACAATTTCAGTTGATAAAGTTTACTTGATACATTTCCAGGTGGACGGGTTCACAAGTTCACATGAATATCTTGACCAGGTGACATGTGCCTGATGAGAGATCCTTCATTACAGTCATTTTAGACTTGAATTGAGACAAAATACTTAACTCTGACTCGAGACTTGACTTGGGACAGAATTCTTGAGACCAGCCTTGGTATTTCCACTCAGAGACTTGAAACATGACCAAGGTTTGGGTACAAAGACTCAAGACCTGACTTTTTGGCATTTACAGGGCAGATGCAAACTCTGAGTTTTAGTTTTGCCAAATCATTTTTCTTATTTATATGTTTGTGATGGAACATTTTTTACAAGCTGATTCAATATGTTCCAATTATTTCGAGACTTTTCAGTGTTATGCTCTCTGTGTACAGAGCAGACTGTGGCGGTGCGGGGTGATGAAGAGGCATGAACCACTGTGATGAAGTGTGGAGCTGACTAACAGTGCCCTCCTGTGGCTGAAGCATTAACCATGTCAATTACCACCTTCCTCACAGATGAAGACGAATGGAGAGTTGCCTGCTCAGACAGGCTCCCTCTAACCTTGTTGATTCACAGCCCGAGTGGCAAATATACACTGATAAATAAGCTCATTCAACAGCTTGAGGGTTCATTAATAACTCAGGAGCCCAGAACCTAACAACTCGTCGTGCACTTCGCTTCCAGGACAGATGCCTGAGACTTGGGGCTTGAGGGGGAACAGCAAAGATACGTACTTGGCTGATCCCGATCCAGAGCTTTCTTCTGCCCAGCCGCCCTGCCGTCGTGCTGGTTTAGGAGGCGGGGCCTGCAAAAAGAGTGACATTTATTTATTTTTAAAAAACAAAGTTTTAAACTAAGAAGAAATGGATCAAACAGAAGGAGACTAAATAGAGTCTTCTTAGTAAAATACGTTATTTTAATTTTGTTTCCTAAATGCTGACAGAGAGAGAAATGAACATGAAACTAACTTTATTACTCACTGATCCACAGAACAAACCAGTGATGTGTTTTATTGTAGTATTGGCCAAAGTACAGTGGGTCCTTAGTTTATGCCACAGCTTCGCTCCTAAGGTGCAACCTAACTTGATTTTCGCCAGAACTCACATACTGTCACTCACCTCCGCTAACACAGTGGCCACATCATAATCTACGACACAAAAACATGAGAAGAATCTGACTTACACCTAGAAGCCATGATGAAGGGCAAAAAATCCCTCCACCCCAAAAGCACAACTCGACGTATGGCATACAACAAACGGTAGTAAACAAAGCGGTCTTCTGCGTATTGCACCTCGTGACAAGGTATTGGTCTACAACACCGTTTTTTGATGTGCAGCGTTCCAACGTCATGAAAGATAAACAAGAATTTCTTAAGAAATTTATGGCATAATCATAATCATGAAATGCTGTAGGTCGAGGTGGTCGTAAACCAAAGACCCCTGAACACACAGGCTCATGTTTCAGATTAACTCAGTATTTTATTTTTATTTTGAATTTTCCTCTCAAGTTGTCATAGCAGAAAAAGAAGAAAAAAAAACACTAACTGAAAGTTTGGTCTAAAGAAAGGTTTTAACTCTTAAATATATTTTGTAAAGTGTTGGTGCAGCTTTAATGTTACATCAAATGAATGTAACTTCAGGTGCAGCTTTATTTCTGTCAATTACAGCACTACTGCTGGGGGGAAAGTTTGAGTGTTGCCAGAAGAGGGCGCTGTTTTATACAACTAAAAAAACTCAGGTCCTTTTAAGAACAAAGAAACCAAAAGCTAAGCTTTAAATAAGAGTAAAAAAGAATTATTATTATTATTGTTGTTATTATTCTGTATGAAAGCTTTGGTTTGTATCTAATATGTATTTAAAATTAAACTATTTCCAACTGAAACTCAAACATGAAATAAACAATATGTCTGGTATGTGCAGTTGATGTCATGTCAGTGAACTCTATTGTTTGTTATTATTAATATTATAGTTTGAGAAAATACAAAGTAGAGCGTGGGAAATGCAGCTTGAAAGTCTGCCCCTTAAATAGATTGACAGAAAAGAAATGACCTTCTCCCGTTCATTCTTTGATTCTGAAAATAGAAAAGTCAGTGAGTATCTCGGTCCTGAGACCGGGAGCCTGAGAGCGGCAGTTGAATGAATGAATGAATTCCTCAGAGTGAACATGGGTGGACGCAAGACAAATGAATTACAACGGCAGGAAGAACAACAAACGTTTCCATGACCAAACTGAGTCTGAAAAGGACAAAGTCCAAACGTTTATTTATTTATGATCAGAGGAGAAATAACCTTCCCTGACCGGTTAATTCACTGAATTTACAAAAAAACAAAAAAACAACGTTGTTAAAGAAGGACAAAGACTGCCTTTAACGGGGGTGTGTACTGGCAAGAATGTGGCGATACGATACTTATCACGATACAGGGGCACCGATACAATATATTGTGATATACTGCGACAGTACAGGCATGACGATATATTGAGGTTTTTTTTTAAAACAATTTACTTGTAGGACAACTGTCAGCATAGTAAACACATAATGTTGGTACATGCTTAGTATAAGGTTACTAAAACTGGAATAGCGGGATCTACATTTGTGATCACTAAAGAAGAAATTAAAGAAAAATAAAATGAGCCAAAGTTTTTTTTTAATTTTTAAAAAAAATGATGCATAGCTGTAGAATGTCAATACGGTATCGTGAAATTAATCACTGCATGTTTCAGTGTCTAAATAATAACAAATGAGTATGCCTTTAAAGTACGCTTGTAAAATCTGCTGTTGCTGCTCCATATCTGGTATCCTGACAATGACCAATGTCCCCTTCCTTTAGAACAAGAAGGCAAATGGTTGTGAGTCTAACCAGTTCATCTGACAAAAGTGTACTGACCTGAAGTGTACTGAGAACCAAAGCAGATCTGTGTGTCCGGTGCATGACCAAATATGAATCTCACAGCTGTAATAAAATAGTTACAGCTATTAGAGCAATTAGCTCAGCCTCTGAGGTTTCTAAATTAAGATTTTCTGAAGGGTCTCCAGGGCACAGCACTTAAATAAAAAAAAAAAAAACCAACTCTTACGAGCCCATAAAAGCTACTCGGTCTTTGTTTTAAAGTACGTCAGGAATGTGACCAATCAGTCGGGTATTTTAGACACAGGAGGCCGGGGTCGATAAACGAAGACTGCAAATAAACCCACCCCATCGCACGACACTCTGGAAAAATGTATTGCATGTGCTCAACGGGTCAGCGGGGGCGCGAGAATACTCTCATACATTCGGGCACTTGGCCTAATTTGGGATGATAAGCCTAAAGCGCCAGCATTGCTGAAATTGTTGTAGCTTAGAGAATGTTGGCCTGGTCACAGTTTGCCAGTCCAAGAGATGTAACTCGTTGGATTCTATAAATACCAGTGACAGTGAAGTGAGTTTTTTACTCCATTTTGCCATCACTGCTCACATATTTCTGCCCGATTTGGCATCAGTTTATCATGACGACGTATGACGCGTTTCAAACTGCAGAAACCATATATGAGGAAATCTCTGAAATTCATGAGTAATAGTATAGACATGTTTTATAGCCTCTAATAGAATTCAACTTCTGAAGTGTGTCACTGGTCATTAATGAAACAGAGTGATGCTGTGAACAACGTGTCAAACTTTAGGCCCGTGGGCCGAATGCAGCCCGCCAAGTCATTTTGTGTGGCCCACCGGAGCTTTTCTTATTACCTCATAATGAAGTCTATGCTGCTTCAGAGTGTATATTGACCATAAATTACAACTACAACTGTGCTCATGATGATGTGAGATCTATGAGCAGAGATCCACTTGCTGTGTTCAACAACAAGCAGCATCACCTCATCAGCTTCACCCACCAGACTCATATAGTTCTGTACCAAGATATCTCAGATGTGAGTTTGATTTTAATTAAACTTTCTTTACTTGATAAATTCAACTTTTTTCTATCAAACAGAGCAAGGTACAATATTTGTAACTTGATTACATAAGAATCAATTGCAGTTTGTTCACAGTTGTTAGAGTTTTGACTGCCCCCCCTTTGAAAATGAGTTTGCCAACCATGATGTAAAAACCTTTCATGCGACTATTACCGACCAGCTGACCAAAGTGTGGCATAAACTAAAGACCACTTTCAAAAAGACCCTAAAATATGAAGAAACTTCAGAGATTCGGCAAAAAAAAGTAGCCTGAGATACTTTCAAGGCTAACCTGAAACAAAATGACACTGTTTTAGGATTTACCTCAGCATGAAAGCAGAGGTAAATCAGAGGTACTTTTAGAAGTAGAAAAAAAAAGCATGCTTTCAATGAGGTCTTCAACAAGGGGTCCACAACCCTTAGGATGCCCATGGAGGTACTTCAGGTGGGTCATTAAATATTTTTATTAAAGTTTCTCCATTGAAAGAAAAACATGAATATAGTACAATGTGTATTTTTTTATAGTTCCCTCCACTTACTTTGCGCCACCTCTCCATCATTTAAGGGGTTCGTGGCCTAAAACTCATTGAAGACCCCGGCCCTAATAGGAAAATGACATCTCAAATGTATCAATAAGAAAAGGCACTCTATTTAAACTTTATACCATAAGAGTCAAAAGGTGTGAATGGAAACTTCGAGAGACCGAGTGAAATCTTTTAAAAGGCACCAAGATAAACCAAAAACAAAATAAGACAAGGAAGAAGAAAACACTGCAAATGGTATAAAGTTCATTTCTGGAGCCAAGAGAACAGAAGCCATGCAGAGTCAGCACTTTTCGCTGTTCCACCTACCTCATCTTCATCCTTTGATAATTCATACGGGACAAAACCAACATGCATATCGATGATGCTTAAGATGAACATGAAATTTGCTATGGCATGTGTATGTGTTTGTGTGTGTCGTCACGTGACCACATACCTCTCCCACTGAAGCAGAGCTGGAGGACTTCCTGGCATAACGAGAATCCTCAAATGAAGACTGATCCGCTGTGAAACGAGCTCTTCGCCCAGACTTTGCAACCTGAAAAAAAATTAGGGGGAATTTTTTACTGATTTTTTTGTATTATTTTACTATGTTTGCAACCATTTTATATAAGTTTATTTTCACAGACATCAGAAGTTGACAGTTTAAGAGTGGTGCTGAGTTGTAATGCATGAAATGTAGGAATATTTATTATCTTAAAACTAATCATAATATAAAGAGAAAAAACAAAATACCTTTTGTTTTCTCTTAATCAAACAACTAGAACGTATAATTGTGGAGAAATACTATGAACCACAGGGTTACCTGCAGCTACTTTATATAGACACACTGTTTAGCACGCGCTGTGCATGTCGGGAATTTTCTGGTGATGCCAATTTAAAGTAAAAAAGTTTACTTAAAGTTAATAACTCAAAGACAACCGTTTTGTTATAAAACTGACAATGACAGCGTACACTCGCTCCTTATGTATCCACCGGTCGGTCTAGCCTGCTAACACAGAGGCTTACGTTAGCAGCTAAGTAGCATTAGCATTAGCCTAACTGAACCGTTATTTAAATGTTTGTTTGTTTACGGCCATTTTTATATCTCCCATACTGAACTCCATCCTGCCGTCTCCTCAAATTCTAACCGTACTCGCCTTTTTTTCACTGCCGGCGTCTCCAAGATGAAAGTTTTCGTCCATTTTTTGTCTTTTTTAACAGCACACAGTAGGGCAGAGCAGACACTTCCTGTTTACCAACTGGCGTCACACAGCAACGCTCTCCATGGTAACGTCATTCAGGAGGAAAGTAGTAGATAATATTATTTTACAGTTTTTATTTAAGTCTGGTTTAAAATAATAATGTTGCTCTCGTTACAAAATTCTTAATTATTTAAAGTAAAAAAAACACGATTAAATACAACGTGGCGCAGCTTAAAATTCGACGATGATTTTAGGCAAAAACCTACAACTTTGTGTTGGATGACCATAAAATGTGGAACTATTGTTTTAAGTACTTTGGATTCACACGGATTACTAGAGAGATTTTTGTCATTTTTATTAAAGAGATGAAAAACTATGTAATTTAATCTTATCTGAAAGAAACATGAAAGATAATAATGTGAAATCTATTGTCCACAACAAACATATATTTATTTTTTTAGCTTCCCTCTCCTTCTATGGTAACCAAAATACTCAATCAACTGGCATTTATCAACATTTCTGTTTCCATCCCATGTGTTTATTACCAGCCTCATGTCCTCTAGCAGTCAAACAATAAACCACACAAATAATATCAATAACTAAATGTGCCAATAACTAAATAATCAAATTCTAAATTGACTTCAGCAATCGTCCTAATCCCTAAACTGTTTATGAAAGGGCAACATGAGAGGATACAAGAAAAAAGAGCCAACATTAACAATTGAAAACCGAGTTTATTACGTGCTCACTACATGGGAAAGCAGAAAGTTGATGTCATCCAAACAGACAGTCACAGACCCTCTGTCCATTAGTGCACAAGCTGAACACTCCCTAAGAACTCCCACGTTGTCGCCATTTGTGTGTGTGTGCGCGTCTTTGTCTAAACAGTTCAGATAGTTTTTTGTTTTTCTTTTAAAACAGACCGCCATCGTCCACAATTTATCTTCCATAATCCAATGTGTGATGATGGGAAAGTCTTAAAGTAAAGTCAAAAGGGAGGGTGGGGGGCTAAGTGATTCAGATTATCTCTGTGCTTATAAACAAAGATTGTAGACTATTTCTTATCATCTTTATTTAATACCAACATGATGTATGTCAATACTCACAGCTGACCCCAGAAATTTCAATTTGGAGTCTCCAGTTAACGTAATTATGCATGTTTATTTAGAGTAATTTCTATGAGTACATGACAGAAGACCACAAAATCTAGGAGGTGGTTTCTAAAGCTTGGAAAAATTGCATTATATATCCATATATATAAATATATAGTTGAAAACCAAAATGAATTTATTTATAAATTTAAATAATATAATTAAAGAATTATTTCCTTGTAAATACTTGTTTTTCTCTTAAATCTGTCTCCGGCTTCCATTACAATACAAACTGACACCCAAAGTCCGCCAGATGTCACTGTTGTGCATGGTTTAAGAGACTGTGGAGACTCCCTGCGGCACCTTCCACAGTGTTTTCTACACATCGACTGGCCCTGTGCACCTTCAACATGCCCCCCTGTGTTAACCCTGGCCCCTCCGTCGGCACTGGAGCTCCTTCTGAGACATTTTCCGTCGCATGATGTCATTGTTGTCATTGGGCTCGTGTGGTGATCAGCGTAATTGGTGGGATTCTGTGGAGACTCACAAGTCAAACAGTCGCACTGCTCTGTTGCCCCAAATACAGATGTCCCGTCAATCAGCACAGAGGACAGAAACAACAACGAACTACCCCTGACAATTCAGAGCAATCAATGGGATTTGCCTATTTCCTTCTCTCTTTTTCTGGAGGGGGAGCGAGGGTCTCTCTCTCTCTCTCTCTCTCTCTCTCTCTCTGCTTCTCTTGCGAAATCGCACATTGCCCAATATTACGCACGCAGCTCAAAAATGCGATCCAAACACAGCTTTGACACCATTAAAATCAAAACTTTATTAAAGACAGAACGGGCCAGGTCCCATTGTCCGGGGACCGAGCTCGGTGCCCCGCCCCTCCCTCGGTGAAACGTCACAGCCAGTGGATATAAAGTGTGTGTGTGAGAGACGCGGAGAGGGAGTGTGTGTTTAAGGCAGGACTGCAGGGAGTCAGCAGAGAGGAGCAAGTGGATGGAAAGAGCCGAGTGCAATGAAGAGCCAGAGTTACGGCGCACACACTGCTGCTCTGTGAACGCGAGGAAGAGGAGACGGTGCCGCGCACGAGACGAGGAGGAATGAGAAGAAGGATCGGGAGTTTTCACACGGAGCTGAGGTCCATTTCCAACATGGCAAGGATGTGCGCCGGTGCAAACGCGCATTTGGCAAAGATGACATAGCACCAGAGAGGGGAAGAAAAATGGGATTCCTGCAGGAGAAGAACTCACTCACGACCTGAATGAAAGGAAGAACTCGAGGGATTCGACCCACACCGGAACTCTTGTCTTGTCTCTGTCCATTTTTTTCTTTCTTCTTCTCTCTGACTGACGTCTTCTACTTGACAAAGTCTGCGCTGTGAGTGAACCAGGGGAGAAAATATGAATCTGGGAAAAGCGCTCCTGTTTTTCCTCCTGTCCAACTTTGTGACGATGACTCTGTCGCTGTCCACCTGCACCACCGTGGACATTGACCACATAAAGAAAAAGAGAGTGGAGGCGGTGAGGGGACAGATTCTTAGTAAACTGCGACTGACCAGTCCGCCGCAGACCACAGGTCCAAGTCAGGTACCGTACCAGGTTCTGGCCCTTTATAACAGTACCAAGGAGCTGATCGAGGAGCTGGGCAGAGACAGACAGCAGAGCTGTGGGCAGGATAACACGGAGACCGAGTACTACGCCAAAGAGATTTACAAGTTCAACATGATCAATGGTCCGCCAGAAAACAGTAAGTCCACCACCTTTTGTTTTTTTTTTTTTTTTGTTTTGTTTTGGTTGTCAGAGTCAGTTACCCACGCAGAGTGAATGTAGGATGGAGTCATTGACAAGTGTGCCGTTGCGCAACCCAGCCGAGGCGCAGAAACTCTTCCAAAAACTTTGAACGAAATTCCTCTTTGAATTCCAATCTCAGAACCTAATCACAGCCGTTAATTAGTAAATGATGTCAGAAATTCACACGGAGGAGTAAAAGTTTTTTTGTTTTGTTTTTTCCTCCTCTTGCGTCTTGTCAATCTCGCTGCTTTTACGCACGAACGCGCACGTGAAGTGAAGAGCGCGGAGTGAAGCAGAGGCTCAAAGTAAACAGTCTAATTGGAATGAGCACCATTCCTCATACATACCTCACACCAAAGCCATGGGAACTCCAGCTGAAGTCTGACACATTCCTTAGCAGGGGAAAATTCTCAGGCAGTTAAGTTTTACTATTTATTGCCAACTCCAATACCTCATTTCCATTTTCTGGCCCCGAGTTTCCCAATATTTTTCATCCATCCAGTCGTCTCACTTAACTCAATTTCCCTAATAGTTCCTTCTAGTAGCCTGGAACAGAGCGGCTCAGGGGTTTTGATCTACCCCCCACCCCCACCTTTCCCCCCCTTGTTCATCCATACTGGTATTTCCTGTGTAAACTATGGTGCATTGATTGTTCCAGGAACGGGGAACAGAAGCTGAGAGAGCAGCAGAGAGAGTGCTTTTGTAAAGGGAGTGTCACGGTCAGAGGTTGGGTCACTCAGCCGTTTGAAATCAACAGGTGTTTATGCTGCGCCGTGACACTGAGCAGAGACTCTGCCTGTTCCAGCACCGGTTCTCGAATCCAACCCATTTCACAGGTCCCACAAAAGTGTTTCTGACATTCAAAATACACAGCCCGGGGTTGATCCGCTGGTCAGGGGTAGCCAGACCTCCCAAAACAAACAGAGGTCTAAGGAGCAGGATCAGTGATGGCCCGGTGCCCAGGACACACCGCTGGTCTCGTACAGTAGGCCGTACTGTAGGTGGGAACACGAGCCATAAGTTTATTTTTTTGATTTTTTTTGACGACTTTAAGACGGCAATCAGCAGAGTAAAAAAAACAACAAAAAAAAGGTGCCAACACGTGGTAATTAGCGCCGACCCCTGCCTTTCCATGATGTCAGGGCATGTTCACCCCGTAGGAACATAATGTCTGTCACCTTGATCATTTCGCAGCGTAGCTCAGATTCATTCCCGCTGGATATAATGGCTTTTACATGCGCTGTTTTTTGGAAGTCGGGCCTGTTTGGGAGCACGGTCAGCCTCGGCTTTTTCTTTTCTTTTTTTTTCACGTCACGCACAGTTAAAAAGTTAAACAGAAACTTTTCTGTCATACTTGAACGCGCCACTTGCTCCAGACTACTCCGCTAGACACGGCCGCTAATGTAAATCAAGGCATTAGCCATTTATGAGATGAAGCGAGATTGAGTCACGGCATCCATCTTCCCATTCCTGTTGCATCACGAGGCCTGATTTTCGTCAGCCTCAGCCAAACGCTGCCGAAGACATGAGGTAAAGGCATATTTCAAGTCAAGGATGAACTCTGGCACCGCACCAGTGATCCTTGATGGTTAAAATTAGAACGAACGTGCCGATTTATAGAGGCTGAGGAGCCAATGATTGACTCAGTGTTGGATCTGGGAAAATGAGGACAAGCATACAGCAGCATATCTGATATATGGGATAGTAGAAAGATGATGTCATCTGAACAAACAGAGACAGAGGTCTAATGGCCTACTCCCAAAAAAACACACACAACCCCCAACCCTTTCTCGAGACCTTCCCCCAACTCTAAATCCTTTTTTTTTTGCTACTTTTTCATCCAACTGGGAGATTTAAAAAAAGAAAAAAGTTCAGTCCAAAGCTCCATCACATTATCTCATCTTTTGGACCACTCAGTCAGAGGAGGAGCACAGAGACTTCAGGTTCACCTGAAGACGAAAGCAACATTTGAAGTCATTATATTCAAACTTTAAGGCCATTTATCGCTAAGTGAAAGTCAGGAGAAAAAAAAAACATTGTATTTTTCCATGAGAATTCGGTGCAAACAAGTTCAAGTTCCAGATGCTACAGTTTAGGCAGACAATAGGGAATGCCAGCAGACTTTCAAAGACTTTTTTTGTTGTTGTCCTTTAAGAGACCTGGACACCTCAGCAGCTGGCCAGCACCTGCTGCCTTATGCTTCTTATTTCCTTTGTTTATTTCTACAAACTCTGGAGAGACTGACATCACAGACAATCCTCTGGGGGAAGAAAAAAAAAGGCACAAAAAGGTGATTCCTGGGAATTTCAATCATTTCAGCTACTGTGCTACAGACGACAGGAGAGACACCGGAGGCTACGCGTCTGTCGGGGGGTGCGTTAAGGGCGAGGCAGATATTCAAATACGTACTCCTCGGGCGTTCTCTCCGTGCTCAGCTTCACTCGGAATTCCTCATTTAAAAGCCGATACTTAGCTGTAATTAACGGAGTGATAACAGTTGAGTGACATCGACCGAGCGAGGTTTGTTATCCAAACTATCACACATGACCATAAACACACCTCCAGGAAACATGTTAATGACCAAGTCATTACAGCAACCAGTGTAGTAGACATAATGGTTACAGCAGAAGTAGCAGCAGCGTTCGCTCACTGTTGACGTACATTTACGTACGTACGCCCACGATGTGTGTGGTGCCACGATAAAAGGTCTAGCTTTTACAGGGTTGAACGCACTGGTAAAACATTTATACGTGTAATTGATTTAAACAGTTTGTGTGGTTTGTAGACGAGTGATTCACACATCATGTTACTGCACGGTTTATCATATCTGGGAGCTCCACTGTTCTGTGGAGCTGTACACTTCCAGCAACCGTGTCTGAAGACCATTGAAAAAAAAAAATTAAAAAAGTAACATGTCCAACATGTACAAACAACCGTGTCTGAAGACCATTAAAAAAAAAATACTAGCAAAAAAAGTAACATGTCCAACATGTACAAAATTCTTCTTTGGTTGCATAATGATTGGCAGTGGTTATCAACTGGCGCCCCGTGGGCCAAATGTGGTCCAGCGAACCTTCTAATTTGGCCCATGAGTGGACTCAAAAATAAACATCAAATAATAATGTTAGACAAAATTGTGATTTTATCTCGTCCTCCGACAAATACAGTTGGTGCCCCCTAGTGCATGTCATTATTTAAGGATATATTACAAATCATAGTCAGCAGCCGGCAAAGCTAAGGTAAACCTAGCTAATTCCGCAAATCCATTCATCTAGCGGCTGATTTTGTGTCTCTGCAAACAAGAAAGGAGAATGATAAAAGAAAAAAAATCAATAGTAAATTAATTTATAGAAAAAAAAAATCAATAGTAAATTAATTTATTAATCAAACATTATTTCCTTCATATAAATTTTGAGGTTAAAATAACATCGACGTCGCTTGTGATAGGTGCAAAGTTGGCGGGGACTAAAACCTGTTGGACAGTTCTGTGAATGTATGTCATTTAAATTATACCAGCAAACCCCTCCACTCACCAACATGGAACAAATTACCTTTCAGACCCTTTGGCAAAAATAAGCCATAATGTGAAATCCACCTAAAACCATTGCAATGGGGAAAAAATGAGGTCATCCAAAAGGAAACCAAAGACTTGATTAGAATTTCAAATCTTCTCTCAAAGTGGGGCTTTCCACCTATTGAGGATGGGGGTAATTGAGGGGAGGCCAGAGGGCTACTGAGGTTTCCCCCCTCATGGATTATGTGGAAACGCTGGACAGATATCTGCTTCGATGGATGCCGAAAAAGGTCACCTACAAATGGAGGGGGGAAAAAGACGGAGTGGAAACAGCAGATAATGACTGGGAGGACGGTGGAACGGGAGTGCGGCTCCAACGGATTACAGATAAATGGAGATGTACGTGTTCCCCGTCCGACACATTAGAAGGATTTTCCATCTGACCTGGAGAAGCTGGAGGTGAAAATCAAGTAAAGGTGCAGTTGCCCCCTTTCAACCATCAGCAAATCTTAGGGCTTAGCCATAAAAGCATGAGCTTGGGGTAGTAAATTAGCCCCGGCTTGGCTGTAAGGGACTGTTTCCACTTGCCCCATAAAAAGTTTGCTATGCGCTTGTTTTCGCTCAACACTGCATGCGCTTGTCCTGTTAAAATAATAAACTCTTCAGTGGTATTGTCGTATAAAAAGTGGGCGGGGCTTCGAGCAACAGGAAGCTGTGCAGATAAACTCACACAATGTGGCCATTTATACTGTTGATGCTGTTAAAGGTCAGCAGCGTGCACTAAGACTACAGTACACACACACACACACACACACACACACTCAGTTATCAGGTAATGTCCTGCTCTACCTACTGGATAAAGACACACACTCAGGACTCGGTCCTCTGGTTCTGGAGAATACTGGGTCAGCGTCCCAGCCCTCGGAGCACCTGTTGGTGGGAACAGTAGGAGCTGCTGCTGCTGCCGTTGCTGCTGCTGCCCCCCTCCGATTTGGTTTTCATTTTATGACTTCAACTTGTTGCTAACTCTGATCGCACAAAGCATAAGCAGATGCTCTGTGGTAAATGGCTCCCTGGAAAGGTCCAGAAATACTGTAGTTAATACAAGAAAAACTTATAAATATATATACAGTATATATGTTATTTCTATTATCTGCAGTGGTGGGGGAACCTGGGAACCTGGGAACCTGGCCAATCAAACCTGTGATAGTCAGATGATAAACACGCCCACTCTTTCATCAGATGAACACAATGGAATAACAGGTTTATGAAGCTGGATGATCGCTCGACAGTGATCGCTCAACAGTGATTGGTCGACAGTTTTGTGACTGGGTTGAAGTGAGACATCGATCACGAAAACGCAAAACCACCTGTCTGCTCAATAAACCAGTAAAACACAGAGTTTTCTCTGCGTATTCCGAGGCACAAGTTGACTTCTGAAGTAGTAACAAAGTCTTCAAACAAAGTACTGAGTATTAGGAAAGTATTTGTGTTTTTGTTTGTCTTGTTATAATCGTTGATTATCTGTGTTACACCCTAAGATTAACTGGGTTTCATTTATCTGATTATGATTTATCATCATCATCGTTTCTTTTTGCAAATTATGTATAAAATATTTTTACTGCATTTGTTTCAAGTACTCGTTGTGATAAGTATAAATTTATACTTGAAACTATGGAGTGTTCTGTAAAATGTACATCAGAGTTTCTCTGCAGAGGGATTAAAAGACTTCTTACCAACTGATAGTCATGTGTTGTTGTTCTCAAGTCCAGGACTTGAGACTTGACTTTGACTTGACTTGGTGATGACTAACTGACTTTTTATCATCAGTTCTAACATCATTTTTTTACAGTAACATGTAAAAGTCCAAACACAACTGAAGAAAATTCTCACCAGTAACTTGGACTAAGACTTTGGGAGCTAGACTTGGACTTGACTCACTATTCTCCCCAGTGACTTGAACGTTTGACACCTTGAACCATTGGTAACTTTTGGTTCTCTTGGTGACATTGATTCAAACCTCAAACTCTAGGGACTCAAGTCAAACTTTTTTTTTTCAGGGACTTGGACATGGACTTGAAATGTCACTTAGACTTGACTCAAGTATTAAATCAGTTACTTACTCCTTGAAGTCAAACGCCTGAGAATGGTTTTCATTTTTAATGTACAAGAATCAGAAACACTGACGCGACCACCACTGACGCCATTCGTACCAAAACGTTTCTTGGGACTCGAACTTGATCACCTAGGCCTGAACTACAATACTGCTGAATGCTACCACATGGTTAGCATAACATGCTACCTCATCATTCCATGTTTTCAAGGGCTCATCTGACTTACCATTTCCATTTCACCTGCAGATGACCTTTCCTACTGCCCCAAGAGTGTCACCTCCAAGGTGTTCCGCTTCAACGTGTCCATCATGGAGAAGAACTCCACCAACTTGTTCCGGGCAGAGTTTCGAGCTCTGCGGATCCCCAACCCCGTTGCCAAGGGAAACGAGCAGAGGATCGAGCTCTACCAGGTGTGTGACCGGAGCGTTCCTTTCCACTGTTAGCAGATGGCTGCAGAGGGTGGGAGTGTGGGGGGGGCGGGGGGGGGGGGGGTGTGGGTTTTGGTGGGGGGGGGGGGGGGGGTGTGGGGTTGTGGTTGGGTGTGTGGGGGGGGGGGGCGGGGGGGGGGGGGGTGTGTGGGTGGGGGGGGGGGGGGGGGTGTGGGGTTGTGGTTGGGTGTGTGGGGGGGGGGGGCGGGGGGGGGGGGGGTGTGTGGGTGGGGGGGGGGGGGGGGGGGGTGTGGGTTTTGGTGGGGGGGGGGGGGGGGGTGTGTGGGTGGGGGGGGGGGGGGGGGTGTGTGGGTGGGGGGGGGGGGGGGGGTGTAATGTGCTTGATTTCCCTCAGATTGTCTGTCGGAGGACAGCGAGAACGATGAGAACATTTGCATTAGAGCCCCCCCCTCCCCGTTTTTACACGCCATGTCCATGTGCACATTCGGACAAATTTCAAACCTTGCACAGCCGTCCTTTAGGAACCCTACAGTAGACGACAATCCTGTGGTTTCGTCTTCCCTACCTGTCAATCTCCAGACCAGTCCGTCTTTGTCAGATCAGATTGGGGGATTAGGTCTAGTCTTTTATATACAGTATGAGGGTTGGGGGTATAGATTTGCTCCTGTTCCTCTGTGTTTATCTTTGGTTTTTGTAGCATCTAAAAACTCACATCGGTTACATGTCTACATGTGGGGGTGACGGAGGATTGTTTTTCTTACCCTCCTCATTAATCTCCCGTGAGAGACCAAGGCTAATGATCAGGTTCCAAAATTTTCTGCCAGGGAGACAAGTGTCTCCGGACTACATACCGCCTCAGAGGCAGAACTCTGGCCAGTGCTGAATACAGACTGTCAGGCTGGCAGATTGTTTCCAGGGGCCTGAGAGGAGATAGAGGCAGAGTCGCCCACTGGGGGAGTAAATGGAGTCGCTTACTCCCACATTTGAGCTGGGGGTGGGTCGGGTTGGCAGTCCTCTGGCCCCTCTTTCCCACAGGAAGGCAGATTAGATGCCGACAGTGTTCAGGAACCTGGTGATTCACCGCAGTGCTGTGCGGCTCCACTCACCACCGAACACACACAGATAAACACCTTTTACTCACAGTAGTCTGTGAGCTGCTGGAATGTCTGGCAGATTTTTGTTCCCTTTGTCATTACTTTGCAGGTCCCTAAAATGTCAGGGCTTAAACAGAGTATGTGGCTCTTCTTCCTCCCCTTCTTCTGTCACTGCTTCTGCACCGACTGTTTGTCAAACTGAAATGTGGTCTGAAACATGAACAACAACCACAACTTTATAAACTTACTATGAAGTCAAATTTGTATCTTGAACGTTGCTGATATTGTGTTACAAAACACAAAAGGTGTTTTGTTTTTTTTAACCCACTTCACCTTGTTGAATTACTGCCACCTACAGGCCCTATTTTCAACTGAAGATAAATTCTTCCAAACCGAAAGATTTAAATGCAACGCTGTGTGTTGAGTGTCTTTCTTCAATTCCTGTGAGTAGATCGGTGCTGTCTTCAACTAAACAGGCTGAGTATTTAATAAACTGAGAGTAAATTTAAGTTATAAGATTTATATAAGAATTAAGACCTATGGAATAAATATATGATTATAAGATTATTATATTACATTACATGCTCTTTGTAAGAGTTTTGTTTGCTGGCGTGCCGTGGGGTTTTTTCTTATGAAACACGTGACTCAAAAAAGGTCAGGAAACACTGAAATGGACATCTGGCAAAAGTGTGTCAGCTATTCACGTCTGAATTAAGACCTATGGAATAAATATATGTTTATATATTTGTGACACCAAAAGGCTTTCATTTGAATTTGTTTTTAATCTCCACTAAGCTCAGCAGATTTAAACTGACCACATCTTCTTCTTTGCTTTTAATAATGGTTTTGTATCTGCTGAGTTACATTACTGCCACCTATTGTCTTTATACTTTCCATTGGAAACTTTTCCCACTGTAGAGGGTTCTTGCCAGGAAAGAAAAAAAAGGAAAGAAAGTGCATCGTGTTATTCTTTTGTCAATCCCACTCTGTACTTTATCTTTCTTCAACTTCTACACCTTCAGTTTGGTGAGGACGTCAACGTCACCTGGACGTCCGCTCTTTCAACTCCGTGACGCTGCGTCTATGAGTCCAACTCAACTCAAGAGTCTGAACTGCTGATGTAAAGGACAGCCAGGTTCTCATTGGCAGGAGGGTTACACGCAAGCATTAACTTGCAAAATAGGGATATCAACACAGAGAGTCACTTTTTCCATGAAGAGTAGACATTTGGCCCAAGGCGTCCTGGAGAGTCTGGCTAAAACAGACAGCTCTGGTTCTGTGTGTCAATGCGTTTGCGCGTACAAAAGAGTTTATGCAGCTGGGTCACATTTTCATCTTTTTCTCCCTAGATCCTCCAGAAAGACGATCCCAAAGCCAAACAGCGCTACATCGGAGGCAAGAATGTCCTGACCAAGGGAACGCCTGAGTGGGTCTCCTTTGATGTCACCCAGACAGTGAGGGAGTGGCTAATGTACAGACGTGAGTGGGACATCCAACCCCCCCGACCCCCGCCCCAAATAACGTAACTGTCCTGAAGGGGACAAGTTCATTCAAAATGAAGGAATTTGTTTCCACGGGTGAAACGTGTCGGCTGCTAACGTCCACCTTCTCTGGTTTCTCCTCAGAGACCAACCTTGGCCTGGAGATCAGTGTGCACTGCCCCTGCCATACCTTCAGGCCTAATGGAGACATTATTGAGAACACCAACGAGGTGCTGGAGGTCAAGTTCAAAGGTGAGACGGAGTTCCTCAGATCTCTGAGCGTCGTACCATTTAATCTTATTAAACTGAAGCAAACATTTATTTTTAAAGATTTATTTTCACAGATGCTTCTAGAATGTGTTATGTCATCACCAGGCTCCAACAGTCAGTCAACTGTTGTTTCTTTCGCTCATTCCCCGTAGTCGTAACTCTACGTTTTAAAGCCTCGACATCCTCGTAGACCAGTTTATGATTTGTAAAATCCAGTCCATGTTATCCACGGGGGAGTTAGCTCAGCTACACAACATTCAGAGTAAAGTTCACACACTTCATTTGATCTCGCTTCCTCCAAGACTCTGTGCAAGTCTTGCAATTTCTACCTGCTATCATGCTTGATGTATTAGCTTTAAGATTTCAGAGCTAGTTGTTAGCCATCTTACATCGCTGTCCAAGAGAATGCTAACGAAATAAGCCAACGTTCAATTTAGGACTAACACAACAAAGAAGAAAGAAAAATCAAATTAGCCATTTTTTAAAGATTAGCATGATCATGATGAGCAAATGTTTTGGAACAGGCACTTCTGCTGGTTATCAGTGGTATTGCAGTTCTGCATTTCTCTGTGGATTTGAACTGAACATTTAGAGAGATTGTGGACAATTAAAGCCAGTCCAGGGTTGTAGCACCAGTCGTTCACATGAACACCTAAAATAGAGGTGTGAAACAGGCTCGGAATAAAGACTGGAAACACGACGACCAGTTCTTCAGTCTACACTGAAATAAACACAACACATTTCATTCAGAGTTAAAACTTTAAAATATAAAAACAAGATGTGAATTTAAGGAGGAATTACTAAAGTGAGCCAGACTATTGTTTTCACTTAAGTCAGACTTGATATTAATCTTAATCCCATCTTTTTTTTGTTAAAGCTTGATATTTATAGCACCCACTAGATATAAGAGTGGCATTTTCTTTGTCACCGGTCCTCAGCAGGGAGGCCAATAAAAGAAGCGATCTTAAAGGGTCAGTAAGTTTTTCATTTCTCAAGCTTTTGAAATCCTTTTTTTTTTATTGACGTTCTGTCTGTTTGAGTTCAGGATCAAGGGCTGACTAAGAAGAGCGTTTCTTAAATCCAGAGATCTCCTACTAATGGTTCACAGGCCACATGCTGCCGACCACTCGGTTTCATACAGTCCCACTGAATCAATTCAGTTCAACTCAAAACAGGTTCACAAAGACACAGAGAGGCTAGCTTAAAATGAGACATCAGAATCCAAAAATACACACACACAAAAAAACACGTACAAGTGGATTAGACTGAAGATGAAACACAAAAAACAAGTGGATTAGACTGAAGATGAAACAGTGGCACAGTAAAGTGACCTTAGTTTAAAAACTTGCTGTAAACAAACAAACTTTACCATACAGGTGTTAAAGCAGACTGACCGATGACAACGACGCCTTCACGGTCCGAAGCTAAAGTGGAAATGCTAACTTCTCATACCATTAGATATTTCTTTCCATGTTTGTGTGAATGAGTTAAATGTCGCCTCTGGTTGAACCAGGTCACGTCGTCTGCGTATACTTAAAAGCCGAGTTTCTAATTCGTCCACTGCACTGTAAGTGATATTTCCACCGTCTATTTTTGGGAAGGGAAGTTAATTTTGGAAAATCTTTCAATTTTTGAAAGAAGATAATTTTTTTTTAGTCCATTCTTTAGCGCAAATGTGATGTCAGAAGATCTGCCAAGGATCTGGCAGCAGGGATAAGACAGAAAAGATAAAGAATGACTGGAGTTTTGGGAAGATTTTCTCAACAGAACTGGAAATTAGACCGTGCAGCGAGTTAAAGAGTCAACCTGTGTCAATCGAAATCAAACCAGCTAGAAATAGGAATGTGGTAACACTGAACTTGTCCTACTTTACTTTTGTTGCGTCAACTGCGTCCTTTTGTCTACCTTCCAGAAATGGGGTTGTGCAGACGTACAGCTTTTTGTATAATTTGTGGTCTTGACTTGGATGGAAAGTTTTGGCCAAACTGACGACTTAAAGAACTGTTCGGTCTATGGGCAACATTAGGGACCGTCACACACCGGCTCCAAAGGCTTCTTGACGCACAGAAACATCTTTAACAGATATACATTCAGTGAATGGGCAATTGGGGCTTCAGACCATCAGATTGGTAAATGACCCGCTCATCTGAGGAACATCCGCCCACAACTGAAGTCTAGGATTTACGTTTCTGCTTTTATATGTTTCCAAATTACATTTACAATTATGATTTCAATAATGGAATTTGGCGCACTGTGAATGGCCATGGCTTTTCCTTTTGATGTTTATTATGGTCTGTCTATAAGAAGCTTCATCTGGTAATTGAGTTTGGCTCAGTTGACCTTAAACTGTGACTCTGACAAAAAAAAGTCCAACGATGTTTTTCTCCACTCGAACCGAGCCCTGGGCTTTTTTCCGCTATATTTACCACATTGCCGGTGGATGGCTGATGTTTTTGAATACCAGTAGGTCAGTGTGCTCTTGTGTCATGTTTCCTTTAATGTGACAATATGCTTTTAGGACGGCCCCGCTCACAATACTCTCTTTATGGTACGACGGGTCTAAAAAAGGTTTGATCTGCTCATCGGCGTATTCCTGGAGCAGCGTTAGGCTTTGATGTCTCTCTGTCAAGATATTGGGATTTCTTTCTGAGAGGAAGAGAGCGACACAGAGCATGGGAATACAATTGATCTGGTATCTCACTTAGCACCGGAGCCCCAGGGCCCTCGGTCCTGGGAACTCTCCCGACTGGCTTGGCCACAAGGAATGTGCTGCCACGGTGCTCAGACGTTTGGCCCCGAATTAAAGAGGGGCGTACATATTCACCAGCAGCATCTCTCCTGAGATATACACTGCTTAAGCTATCAGGGGTAGATTGGATGAGCAGACACAGGCCCAGGGGGGAAATGGAAGAAAGGAGGGAGTTAGGGAGACCAGTGTTAAATAAAGAAGGAAGAAAAATGGACTGAAAACAAAGAACTTCATCCCCAAGATAACGACTTCCTTGTGTAACAGTCACAACACTGTGGTGATTACAGTGAAGTCGGCGTCATCAGATCCCATGTCTTGGAACTTTTTCTCGATGTGCTTTTGTGATATCCTCCAGACTAACAGACGTCCTGTTGCAGGTATGGAACCAGAATACGAGGAAAGAAAGTTCAAACCAAAGGAGCAGCTCTACCCTCACCTCATCCTCATGATGCTGCCACCCCACAGGCTGGACGCCCAGTCCTCGTCCCGTAGGCGCAAGAGGGCACTTGACACCAATTACTGCTTCAAGTAGGTTCACACACTACACACAGTGAAGTATAGACAAAGTCAATAAAATGATTTCCAATGGCAATAACCTGAGTTAAGTACACATTAGTGACAGAGGTCAGGTGGTTGTTCAGGTGTTCACTGCCATCCTGCCTTTAATAACGTATTTTACAATTAATGATGGCTAATATAAAAAGGTTATATAGTTTAATAAGTAAATTAGTATTTTACATTTATGATGGCTAATATAAAAAGGTTATATAATGTATGGTATCGTATGGTATAGTATGCTATGGTATGGTCTAAGATGGTTTGGTCCGGTCTGGTATGGTACAGTACTGTATGGTATGGTACGGTATGATATCATATGGTACAGTATGGTAGGGGATGGTCTGTTATGGTCTGGTGCAGTATGCTCTGGAGTGTGGTGTCTAAAAAGCCTACGTACACATTTACAGGTTAGCTGAAGAAAATCCGTAGAATCAAGATAGTGGAATCTGTGACCCGATATTATTGGGTCAAATAAGAGAAGAGTAGAATTCTCTGACCATGTAGGAAGACATCTACATTTGAACAAGGGAGGTTGAAATCACCCAAAGAACACTGGAGTATAGTGCTCTGATCTGGATCTTTGTTGTGGTCTTGTCTCCCAACATGACTTGAACAGGACAGCAACTGTCTAGAAGACCAAAGGTGAATAATATTAGCCTGCACCAAGACAAATATAAAGCCATAACAAGTCAGTAGAGTTGTACTTCAGCCACCATGTTCCCCAGTACGAGGAGAAGAACAGGGGCACAGATGTCAGTGGAGTTGTACTTCTGCCACCATGTTCCCCAGTAGTACGAGGAGAAGAACAGGGGCACAGAACACGAAATTTAAACTTGTTAATTACAGAGATGAACATTACACAGGTAAAGGCTGATACGTGTCAGGATCTGTCCTGGTAGTAGCAACCTCCTCTCAACACGCTGTCTCCTCAGCTCCAGATTTTCAACGTCAGGTTGACAGACAACGCCAAACATTTGGGCAGACTCCAAGAGGGAAAACAAGGGGCACACCTCAGAGTGGAATTTCTGAGCTTCACTCTCATCTCTGCCCGTGAGGCCGTCGGGACTCAGGCAGGGATACGTACGCAACCATTAAAATACTTTTCTTTATGTGCCTTCTTGCCTGCAGCAATTACGAGGAGAACTGCTGCGTGCGACCACTATATATTAACTTCCGTCAAGATCTGGGATGGAAGTGGATCCATCAGCCTGAAGGCTACTATGCCAACTTCTGTTCCGGTCCGTGTCCTTATCTACGCAGCGCTGACACCACCCACAGCTCGGTGAGACAAAGAACCCAAAACATTGAAGTCCACTATCTGTGTGGGAGATTTTTTACTAACTTGTTTTCCTTCTTTCTGTCTTTCAGCTGCTGAGCCTCTACAACACCCTGAACCCGGAAGCCTCCGCCTCGCCCTGCTGTGTTCCTCAGGACTTGGAGCCCCTGACCATCCTGTACTACGTGGGTCGCTCCCCAAAAGTCGAGCAGCTCTCAAACATGGTTGTCAAGTCCTGCAAGTGCAGCTAGAGGCCAGAGCGTCAGGGCGTGGACGGGAACTTTGGGATGTGTGGGTTCCCAGCACTACTCAGGAGCAGAACCGATGGTTGATAGGTGACCTCCGGGTTTGACCTCCACAAAAACCTCTTCCGTCTGCTACAGCCTTCACCCAAGTTCCCTCACGAAATGATGCAGTCCCGAACTCACAACCATTGGCAGCGTTGACCTACCAGTTTTGGTCAGCGCCGTCTGACCCACCACAGCCCCCCTTGACCTTAGACATTCAACATTTCCCCATGGTTCTGCCCCAGTTTCAGCATTTTGAACGGCTTTTACCTCAGATCGACCTGACAGTGGTATTAAACTCTTATTTTCCACGACGGAGGAACAGCAATTGTCCTGTAATGACCACTGCATTCCCAAGGATATACATTTATTGGAGTCCACAATCAGAGAGTGACTGAAGCCAACGCTCCAGAGAAAGTAGAAGAAGACAGGATCTGAACAGGGGGTCGTTTCCCTCAGCCTTGACTGACAGGACACCACCTACTGGTTCTCTGTGTATTTAGGATAAAATGCTGTTCAACGACAATAGAATGAAAACGAACACATGCTGGAAACCAACATTTATTTCAAAGTAGTACTTCCATGGATATGTTTACCTCTGTAATGCAACAGGACGGTGATTCCAGGGATTGTTTTGTTTTAAGTGAAACCTTTCTGTTGTATGAGATGATGTATGTCACTAAGTGAACACTTAAGTAGATCACCAACTGTAAATGTTTTTTTTTTCTTATTACTCTTGAAATCACTTTTTGATTAAAAAATGAACAGTTGGACTGAATCGTTATATTCTTTTATTGTTGACGAATCTGACGGGTTTTCAGGAAGAACCGGTGAAAACAGTCGCTGGTTTGTTTGGCTGAATATTCAGCAGACAAACACTTATACAATGCAGGTTTCAAATGAATCCCCTCTCAGTACGTGATCATGAATTTGGGACAACCTTTTTTACAAGACCCTCACACAAATAGTGAATTCTGACATTTTTTGTGCACTCTATATTACTGTACAGGTCACATTTCTTTTAAGACAGCATTGAGGTCCTGTAAATACAGATGCTGAAATTAGGGATGGCTCGATCCGATACTCGGGATCTTTGCACAACATGCTGTAAACAGGGACACTATCAGAATGAAAATGAAAATGTGAATCTTAGGAACATGACCAACACTGGGGGAGTAGAAACTAGAGCTACAACTTTGGCCTTCAGCCTGTTTGCTGCCTCTTATTTGCACCAATCGTGGTGCTGCAGCCATGCATATGTTGAACTTATGTGATGTGTACTAAACTACTACAGTTACTGTAATGTTGCTTGCTACAAGTTGCGAACACAAGAAATAGTCATTTTCATGATGCCATAAACACCAATAGAGAAACAATTCAAACACCGGGAGTGTAAACAGTGTTGTATCACCAGAGGAAGTCATACACAAATATGGTAATTCTTATGTAATGCTACGTGCACTAGCTTGAGAAGATATGGTACAATAGCAACACGACATTAGAACCGATAGTTTAACAATAATCACTATAAAAATATCTAGAACTGTCGTCGCCCTTCCACCTCTGCGATGTAAACTACGATCTGCGCAAAACCACTCGAAACTGACGTGATTAATGCATGCAGACAAAATTCAAGTATTTTTCACATTGACGTTATGAATATATGTAAATATACTATATGCTAAATATGCTAAATATACTGGCTTATCACACAGACGCAATATTCTTTTAACAAGCCCTGAGTGAACTGGTCCCAGGATCATCCTTATGCGGATGACGGTCTGCTGGTGCAGCACTGACCTTCATTGGTCCTTACAGCTACAGAATTGTCCTACAGTAGAAGACCAGCTGTTGAGGACGTATAGTATATAATAAATATTGAAACAAATCAATTATTTACTCACTATAATATATACATTTAAAAAACAACAACAACATCTCAGTTGACAGGGAGAACTTCAAGTCAGGCATTTTTTTTATATATATATAAAACATGAAGCGCCATTCGACGAGTTACGTCATCTTTGTAAACAGGGAGCGCACCAAGGCCAACGAGACGTTAGCTTGGATCGGTTTCACGAGCGCAGGATGACAAACACGTTCAGCTTCAACACAACTGCCACAGATTTTGATTTGTCTACAGTTCGGCTTTCAGCGAGGACTCGAAGTTCGCAAACCCAAGAAGTGAACATGACAAGAGCAACAAGAGGTGAAGCTGCTCCGTCAGTACCAATGATACTCACCTAAATCTCCACGAAGTTACATTTTAGTGGAGAAATATTTTGAACTGCTATGGAGGGCTCTGTTTGAGGAAAAATAAAATATGAATTACTAATCTGGCAACACAAACACATTGTCTCATTTGTGTTAAATATGTTGTCTGAGGTCATCGGGTTCTGACAGCAGAACATTTGGTCAAAATGAAGGGTTCTGCTACCTATCCGAGCTGTTTTATACGCAGCCTTAAGTTAAAAAAAGAAAAATCTTTTAATAGTCACAAAATATGATTACAAGAGCTATGTAACATTAGTGCAACCAAAGGGTAAGCAGGTCCTACCAAGTAAATCACGGGGCTTTCATTTAAGTGCAAACCTAAGCCTTTGGGGATTTAGATGGTACAATTCAAAGCGTTGTCTATCAGAACCACTGATCCAAGAACCTGCTCAACAGTGTTCACAAAGTCAGCAGGGGGCAGCTTAAGCGTGACGCTGCCATGCTCAGAGCACCTCAGTGGCAACTCGGCAGCTTTTGGGTTCGTACCTGAAACCTTCCGGACCCAAGTCCACTTCCTTAACCACCAAGCCACTACTGCTCCTGCACGAGTGCCAGGAACGACCGGAGATTTGAATAACGTTCACGTTTTCTAACAGCCGGAGGAAGAGAACGGAGTCACTGAGACTCTTCTGAAGTTTTACTGCATTCGTTCAAATACTGCAGTCATGGGAGCAGAGCCACACTTCAACCACAACTATGGCACTGGACTGGAGTGGTACAGGTTGGAACCACAGGTGGAAGTGAGTGACAGGAACAGAAGTATGCGGCCGCCTGTACAAACACTAGGTCATACTGTTCTTTTCACAACGTTACAAAACTCAAGAGTGGAACCGGTTCGTGTTGCACTGGGGCTGAGTGCGTACAGTATGTTCAAACGCTGAGTTAGGAACGCGGGCAGCAGAGGGAGAGGTGAGCTGAACAAACACCCAATGTTTTCCGTTCTCAAAGAATTATTGGATACTTTGGTATTTTAGTTTGAAAAAAATGATCTGGCTCTTTGAGTTCAGATCAATGGTCTGATGATGTCACACTTTGTGCCACCTTCTCTGCTTTGCTAATGCTAATGCTAATGGTCCCTGCAACATGAAAAACGCCACTATTCAACAATTCACTGTGGAATAGATTCAAAGTGAACACAGTACAATACCTCCATGTTACGTTACATTTGTAATGATATTTTTTCTAACAGTCAGGCTGCCTAAACAAACAACTTAGTCTGGTCTGGTCCGTGTTGTCCTTGTACGTGTACTACAACCTTCGTTTAAGATGTCAGATATTTGTTGTTTGTTGACAGATAGAATTGGAGAATGTGGAGTAGAAATTAAATTTCTTGGAAGCAGTTAAACCTTGTATATAAAGCACTATCCTAGTCCAGTTTGGACTTTTTTTTTCTTTTTTTCTTTCTTCTGAATTTGGACTTTTTTTTTTCTTTTTTTCTTTCTTCTGAAAGTGGTTGAAGTTCTCCAAAAGCAGCACCAGGTTAAAAACCCTTACATTTCTCCTTGAAGTATATCAGTGGCATCAATGGCATGGAGGGAATCAGAGTCGGCAGCAGTTCGTCTGGCGACAGACTGGATTCAGCCACTGGGAATGATGAGGAGGGGGCGGCGAGCTGAAAAGGCCATCTGATGTTATACTGCGCAACAAAATCCCAACCTGCGTCAAAGCTGGGAATTCCTGACCTGGCAGTCGGTCCTCTGGCACGTCTGGAGCTGTATCACCGAGAAATTAATAGGACACCATTCGATGTTTGGCACGCTTTCATCTGTGGCCGTTGTCCTGTCCAGAATCCATCTTTGAGAGGATGTAGTTACATGCAGAGACACCTGTTAGGCCAGCAGTGCGGCGGGACATGCCTCCGGTCGCCTTCCTGTCATCTGTGACTGGGCTCCTGGCCCGGGAACAGCTTGCGGTACACGGAGAGACCTAGAGAGCAAAGAGAGCAGACGCAAGAAAAAGTGAGTGGCAGAGGTAAAAAGGCTGCTGGACGCTTTCCTCGTGTGTGTTTCTACCCTTCATCCTCATGAATTATTTAAACTCTGGGTGCCGACAAGCTCAGCACTAAGACCTTCCTCTGGGTGACCTTTCCCCGGCTGCCTGTCTGCCACTCGCCCTATCAGCTGGCACATGGCCAGGTGTCCTGTAGGAGAGGCGTTCCGTGTACAGTCAGAGCTGCCGTGTTTGTGTTCCCAAACAGTATTCCCTTTCATTCCCATTCCACACACTCTTGTTTATTTTGGTGCTCTTTTACACCCGCGAATCCCGGCAGAGCTGGAAAGAGGGAAAATATGTTGCCCAACTTCCAATCTGATGACATGGCTGCTGGAAGTGGCTTAGTGGCTCATTAACATGACGATAAAGGAACGACAGTGGCTCCATCGTGGGCTCCTCTTAAGACGAGTTGGAACCGAAAGAAACTAGTGTCCTATTCCAAATTAACCGCAAAGAATGATCGCTAACTGCCATGATATTAAGGAGCGGGAACTCATTTTGCCAATTGAAGTTCCACATAATGGCTGTTGCCATATAAAAAAAATGTTTGTTGTTACATTTAAGTAATTGTCTGCTCACTTCACTTGCTTATAACCTAATGATTATACTAGTATATTTCAGTTTAAATGTTGCCCCTGAGGCAGGATCATATACAAATGAGTGTGAGTGGTCAACTTTTATAACCAGTTACACACCACTACCACAGCACACACAGATCGTGGAGTATAACCACTGTAACGTTCACCTTTTGTGTCATCTCACAAAAAAATTAGCAAAGCTAGCTAAACGCTGCTCCAGTGTCCAGCTTTTGATTTTAAATTTCACAATGTAAATGTTTATTTGGACGCCTTTAATGTGCAGAAAAAAATCCCACTTAAAAAAACATTCCAAACCCGCAACACATTTTTTAATCTGTGCAGCCCCTAGTGGCAGCTTGTGTACCTGCAGGTATGCGCACATCACATTTTGGGCATTTCTGATGTCGTCTGATTATTATTTACCAATACTAAGAATCATGATGAGAGTAATGACATCATTATTATTGTTTCGCTAACCTTCCTTTGTCATGATCCTAGCGTAGCTTGTTACATAAATATATATATTTTTTTAAGTATTCTCATTAGATACATACCATAAAACCTTAAGAAGAACAAATGTCTGAAATGAGTTCTCTTAATATGTCTGTGATTACATTCATATTTTCTTCATTTTTTAACAAATAGCCACGTTAGCTTCAGAACTAGCACGCTAGTTAGCCTATATGTGTTTCTAAGCAGATGGCCATTAACAAAGTTGTTTTAAAAGGGGCTACAGCCGTGTTAATGATAAGGACCAAAGCTTAGTACAATGTTCGGATCCTGGTCAGGGTGAGTGCAGCCAGAAGTCTGTTCAACATGTGGCCGATAAAAAAAGCAGGTTTCTGATAAAGCTGATGGATCTTCGTTAAAAATGCACCCATTAGGAAAAGACAAAGAGAGGGATTCTGGGCAGAGTGAGCAGGAGGAAAAGCAGGGGAGAGTAGCGTGAGCAATGGGAGGAAGAGATTAACGGAGTGCACAAGAGATAGAGGAGGGGGGGGGGTGATTTATGACGGATGACAGCTGATCATAGAGAATGCTCTGCATTTGGACCGGCTCTAACTCCCTGTCAGAGTCAATCAGTGGAGCTCAGTCATCTCACTACAAAAGGTACACCGAGCCGCCAGAAAGACCTGACGCAAGCCCCACACAAAGGCCGTGTCCCTTCTAATAACACCTCCTCCCACCTCCACCTCCACCCCCCCCCCCCCCCCACACTCACCCTCCCAGACACCATACAGGGTCCCTGTGTTACCTTCTCGATGCACGGTTAAACCACGAACAGCCGACGAGTAACTGGTGCTCACTCATTTTTTTTCCCCTTCTCCTTCTTTTGGTAGGAATCAGACACTATTTTAAAAGCCAAGAGTGAGGCATCTCCCCCACCCTTTGCTCCCTGAACGACGGAAAAAATGCATTCATGAAATTCAGAAGCTGCTCCCAACGGATCCTATTACAGTAATTGATGAGTTTGTAAGATGTTTGTTAACCTAAGCCAGGCTTCATACTTTGGGGAGAAGATGGAGAATGAAAAAAAAAAACGAACGTTAAAGTCTCTCACACAAACACAGATTTCGGAGGAAGGGGCCTTTAGCTACTGTATTTTTCCAAGTGGACGATCTGCAGCTCAGTGTGACTCTCTCTCTCTCTCTCTCTCACACACACACACACACACAATGTGACAAATGGTGTGATTTTCTAATGCAAACCTATAGCGGATGTCTGGAAAAAGCCCCTGATCAGACAAACAGATGTGTCCATAAGCACAAACTGCTTAATATCACTGTTAGCGCCGTGGAGCTGCACACTCTGCCGAGGATGGAAAGAGCTGTGGAAACAGGGCAGAGTGACAGGGCACACGTGAGCGCATGTGCCCGCAAGTGCACACGCGAAGGCCGAGCAGGAACATTCTCATTCCCCCGGCGTGGTTCCTGGTGTAAACTGGACCGGGCCGCGGTCAGTGACTGTTTGACTGGAGGAATGGTGAGCAGATGGGAATGTCCAGTCAAAGTCTTCACTGGCTTTCATTACCAAGAGGGGTTTTATCACAGTTACGCCTCTTTATCCATGTGTTGTAGTATTCAAGAAATGATCAGACAGACAGTCGCTGCTGCTGTTACTGCTGCTGTTGCTGCTGCTGCTGCTGCTGCTGCTGTTACTGCTG